GAGGCCCCCAGGCAGCGCCCCCGCCCCGTCCTCACCTCCGCGGCTCAAAGTCCCAGGCCCTTCGTCCTTCCCTCCCATCACCTGCTTCATGAGCGATCCCAGCTTAGGCTGCTGCCTCTTGTCGGAGAAATCTGCAGCACCAAGAGAACGTCAGCTCCCAGGGCCTCCCGGCTCCCGGGGCTCCCGGGGCTCCCGGGGCCTCCCGGCTCCCAGGGCCTCCCGGGGTTCCCGGGGCTCCCGGAGCCAGGCAGGGGCCGGGAGGAAGCGGCAGCAAGCAGAACCCCGGGGATGCAGAGCCAGCGCGGGAAGCAGCGTCCAGCTGGAGCCACGGAAAGCCAGCACCCGGGGCAGCCCTGGGGCAGGGGGCTCGGCCCCTGCCCGCGGTGGGGTCACCCTGTGCCAGCCCTGCCGGGTCACCCGTGGCACCCGCCGAGCCAGGCTGAGCCCCCCGCTCCGGCCGCGCTCGGACACGTCCCCTCGCACCGGGGAAAGGCCTCGGAGCGGCTGTTGGGAATTCTCTGCCTTCAGGATCGGGGAACCCCCTGGGCTCCCCAGAGACCCCAGCCCCTGATGTGTCCACAGCGATGATGGGTGGGATGATGGGACAGCATGGATGGCACTGGGAAGGGACAGATGGCACCGGGACAGGACAGATGGCACTGGGACAGCATGGATGGCACCAGAGTGTGGCAGGGTGGGACAGAGCTCTGCCCTGCAGGAAGGGCCAGCTGGGAAGGGACACTTGGCACGGGGCAGTTGGGAAGGTCTGGCTGGGAAGGGACACCTGGGCACAGACTTACCGGGGGTCCCCAGAGCGACCCCGGCACCACGCGTGGGGGACACGCAGTGCTGAGATCCTGGTGGGAAGGGCCTGTCCCCACCTCAGAAAGTGCCCAGATCCCAGCACAGGCTTTGGCTCCCAGCTCCAGGGACACCAGGTGTCCCAAAACCCCCGGGGTACCCAGCGCCCCCAGCTCCAGGGACACCAGGTGTCCCAAAACCCCCGGGGTTCCCAGCACCCCCAGCTCCAGGGACACCGGGTTTCCCAAAACCCCCGGGGTTCCCAGCACCCCCAGCTCCAGGGACACCAGGTGTCCCAAAACCCATTCCCAGCCGCAGCCAGGGAGAGCCAGCTGAAGCTGGGAGCTCTGGAGAGGCTGTGCTGCCTCCTGGGACGCGGGAGCCCGGAGAGCAGCTCCCTCGGGATGCACAGCAGGAGCCAGGGCTGGCAGGAGCCCACCTGGGCCCCCTGCCCCGTGCCCCCCTCACCTGCACTGCTCATGTGGGCCGAGGTGAAGCCGCTGAGGGTGTTGCGCCCGCCGGCGTCCGAGTAGTGGGGCATGGAATTGATGACAGCCTGCAGGTACTTCTCCTGCTCCAGGCTCGTGGAGTCCGCCTGCGAGGGGCCTGCAGGGGACAGCCCGGAGTGTCACCTGGATACCCCCAGCTTGTCACTACCCTGAGACAGGAGACCTCCGAGGGTAACCACCCGGAGCTGGGAGACCCCCCGGTGTCATCACCCGGAGCTGGGGAGACCCCCAGATACCACAGCACCAAGTTAGGGAGACACCTGAGTGCCACCTCCCAGAGCTGGGGGGTCCCCTTAGTGTCACCTGCCAGAGCCAGGGGACTCCCAAACATCACCACACAGAGCTGGAGACCCCTGGGTGTCACTGCTTGGATCCTGGAGACCCCCGAGTGTCACTGCCCAAAGCCAGGGGACCCCTGAGTGTCACTGTCCAAAGCCAGGGGACACCTGAGTGTCCCTGTCCAAAGCCAGGGCACCCCTAAGTGTCACTGCCCGGAGCCAGGGGACATCTGAGTGTCACTGCCCAGAGCCAGGGCACCCCTGAGTGTCACTGCCCGGAGCCAGGGCACCCCTGAGTGTCCCTATCCAAAGCCAGGGGACATCTGAGTGTCACTGCCCAGAGCCAGGGGACCCCTGAGTGTCACTGTCCAGAGCCAGGGCACCCTCAAGTGTCATTGCCCAGAGCCAGGGCACCCCCGAGTGTCACTGCCCAAAGCCAGGGCACCCCCGAGTGTCACTGCCCAGAGCCAGGGCACACCTGAGTGTCCCTGCCCAGAGCCAGGGGACCCCTGAGTGTCACTGTCCAAAGCCAGGGCACACCTGAGTGTCACTGCCCAGAGCCAGGGCACACCTGAGTGTCCCTGCCCAGAGCCAGGGGTGATGCCACGGCCCCGGCTCCATGTTCTGGCCGGGGCAGGCGGGGACACTCACCTGGGGTCGGGGCGTTCTGGGACTTGAAGAGGCCGACGACGCCCTTGCCGTGCAGGCCCCCGGAGCGCAGGAGCACGGCCTTGGTGCGGGAGTTCCTCCAGCACACCACGGGGAAGCGGCTCTGGCGGTAGCAGCGCGAGATCCGCTGGATCGTGTTGTCCTGGATGCTCTGCGGCACGATCAGCAGCCCGGGGTAGCTGCGGACACAAAGCCCCAGCATGGCACGGCTCTCCTGGGCCGGCTTCCTTAGTGCTCTCATTAATCCTGAGCGGTGCCCACTTGAAGCCAGCACTGATCACCCTTCTCCACACCCATGACTGCTCCTCGGACCATTACATCTCACTCCGAGCTGGGTAAAACCAGCCCTGACAAGCTCGAGGGAGTCAAAGGCTGGACACCTGGGAGCTGGGATTCATGGCTCTCCAAAGGACACGATGGACTGGCCAGGACTCATGGCCCTCCAAGGACACAATGGAGTGACCAGGACTCACGGTCATCCAAGGAGACATTGGAGTAAATCAAGTCAAAGGAAACACCAACAATGACATTTCAGCCACAGTGCTGGAAACCCCCCATGTGGGAAAAACATTATAAAAACACCAGAAAACTCAGACTAATCACGAGAAGCGAGAAATCAATAATCAATAGAGGGCAGAACAGCGATTAATGAAGAGAAGACTGGGCAACACAGAACCAATGAACATTGGCTAAAAACGTATCAAAAATTGAGAAAATCCAGGGGTGCTGCAGACTGGAATTGGGCTGGCCAAGGACAAAGCGATGCTGGCACCGCTGGAAGGATTTGTTGATCCCAGAGGCTCTGGGTGTCTCGGTGACACCGGGATCTGCTGGGATCCGCAGGGATCCGCAGGGATCAGCAGGGATCCCGGGGCTCGCGGGGCTCGGCGCCCGGGCCGGCTCACCTGCGGCAGATGGCGTACATGCGGTTGACGGTGGAGATGCGGAAGGGCTCGTTCTTGGAGCGGGTCAGGCTGCTGCTCAGCGTGCCCAGCCCCAGGCGCTGGTAGTCCCGGCAGCAGGCGCGCTCCACCACGTGCGTCATGGTCATCTTCTCCGACGGCCTCATGGTGCTGCTGGGCGTCAGGGTGCTCCTGTCCAGCTCCTCGGACACTGCGGGGACGCGGCGGGGCTGGGACACCTCGGCGCACGCACGGCGTCCCGGAGTGGCGGGAGGATGGGCTGGAGCAATGTCCCACCCTGCTGCTGTCACCGTCGCCACCACCAGACTCCTGGGGGGTTCTCCAGCCAGCCCAAGACCTCCCTCCCCGCTGGGCTCTCTGCCTGGCCACCACCAGCACCAAGGGCTGCACCAGGAAACAGGAGATGCTCCCACCCTGCTCCCACCCTGCTCCCACTGCAGGGACACCAGGACTTCTCCCAGGAGCCACTGCTGCCCGGCCTCCCCGGGGTGCTCCCAACCTGAGATCTCGTCCTCGTTGTCCTCGGGGAAGTGCTGGCTGCCCCGCTGCTCCCAGGCCGGGGGCGTGTACTTCTTGCGGGTCACGTACTGCCGGCCGATCGTCCTCTTGGCGTTCTTCACCAGGTTCTTGGACAGCGTCCTGGGCACAGAGGGACAACGCTGTCACCTGGGCAGCCAGGAGCAGCCCCTGGCCTGGGCGGTCACTGTCACACGGGACAGGACGGACGTGTCACCTGCCAGCACCCCGGCCCCGCAGGAGCCCCAGCTCCTGCCGTTCCCAAGGGATTTGGGGAGGTGGGATGGGGCAGTGCCCTACGCTCTGGATCAGAGCTGCCACAGGCAGAGCCCCAGCTCATCCCAGGGGAGGCTCCAAATCACAGCAAGGGACAGGGACCCAGTACAGGGACCAGGGGATCCAGTACAGGGACATGGGGATCTACTGGGATCATGGAATCCATGGCAGGGACCTGGGGATCCACCACAGGTACCAGGGGATCCATGGCAGAGACACTGCCAGCCAAGCCTGGGCTCAGAGCTGCAGCCAGTGCTGCAGGACAATGCTACGCAGTCCTTCAACACTGAAGGACTGTGTGCCCATGTCACCCAATCCTGCAGGACAATGTTCCTGAGTCACCCAGCAATGCAGGGCCATGTCCCCAAATCACCCAGCACTGCAGCACTGCATCCCTAAGTCATCCAGCAGTGCAGGACCATGTCCCTGAGTCCCCCAGCACTGCAGGGCCATGTCCCCAAGTCCCCCAGCACTGCAGCACCGTGTCCCTGAGCCACCCAGAGCAGGAGCACTGTGTCCCCAAGTCACCCAGCACTGTGTCCCTGAGCCAGCCAGGCCACTGGAGCCCCTCCTCTGGGACACCTCCTCAGGCAGGGGATGCCACTGCAACGAACTCCCATTCCCGGTGGGACCTGTCCTTCCCAGTGTGACCGTGTGGGGCTGGGGACACTGCAGGACAGGGGACATCTGCAGCTCTTTGGTCTCCACAGGTCCCTGCCAGGAGGGGACAGCCGGGGGGTCGGGCTGTGCTCCAGGGAACAGGGACAGGAGGAGAGGGAACGGCCTCAGGCTGGGCCAGGGCAGCCTCAGGGGGGATTTTGGGGAAATTCCTCCTGGAAGAGGCTGTGCAGCCCTGGCACAGGGATGGGGTCCCCATCCCTGGAGGGATTCCAGAGCTGTGTGGATGTGGCACTTGGGGACAAGGGCAGAGCTGGGAGTGGCTGGAGTCATTGTCTCACAGGGCTTTTCCAAGCCTGAGGATTCTCTGATCTCCAGCCATGTGAACCCTGCACCAGGATGGGTCTGAGCAAGGAGGGCTCAGCTCCCCATGTCCCCTTCCCTGAGCACCCCCAGCCCGGCAGCTCTGCTGGAGCAGGACAGGAGGGGGAGTCCCAGAGGAGGAGGCACACCCAGGTGTGATTTCTGATTTCCCAGAGGAGGAGGCACATCCAGGTGTGATTTCTGATTTCCCAGAGGAGGAGGCACATCCAGGCGTGATTTCCCAGAGGAGGAGGCACACCCAGGTGTGATTTCTGATTTCCCAGAGGAGGAGGCACACCCAGGTGTGATTTCTGATTTCCCAGAGGAGGAGGCACACCCAGGAGTGATTTCTGATTTCCCAGAGGAGGAGGCACATCCAGGCCCGACTCCCTCTCCGGGCACAGGTACCTGAGCGAGGGGTTCTTCTCCTTGGCCTTGGGCTGCATGGCCTGCTTGGGGGACTGGCCCACGGTGAAGGCGAAGGTGCCGCGCACGTGCTGGGGGTAGCGCAGCTTGTGCAGGTGCTTCCGGAAGATCTCGGCGCTGTCCGAGGCCACCTCCTCGTCAAAGGCGATCTTCAGCAGCTGGGGGGGCACGCGTGGGGGTGACAGAGGGGCCAGGTCAGGGGGCAGCCCTTCCCACGGATCAGGGCACAGCTTGGATCCACCCAGGAGCACCATGGGCACAGGCTGGACTGAGGCTGCCCTGCCTCTCCCTGCATTCCCATTCCTTTTCCTCTGCCCCATTCCCTTTCCTCTGTCCCATTCCCCCTCCTTTATCCCATTCCCTTTCC